ACCGTTTGCATGGGATGTCTATGCTATTTCGGATAGCTATGAAGAAGATCAAGTAGAGAGTTATTACTCTGCTTTCACTGTTCTACGTGTTTGTAGAGATGAAGCAGTTCTTACACAGCACTGCTCAGGTTTCTTAGCTTGCAGCCAATCTGAGATCGTGTCAGCTGATGGTGGTTTGGATGTTGGTCAAGCCTGCGAGGTAGATATCATCTAAACTACAAAAAGGAATGTTTTTAACAAATGTCAAATACTTAGTAGCTAATGCTTAAGTTTTTTTTTCTCATTTTAGCAAGTGTTTGTTAGTGATGATGAAGAGGGTGAAGGACTGGAAATTGGTTCTGAAGACTTTGACCAGGACCAGTGTGTTGGGACTGGATGAAATTCCTGCAGATCTAGATGATGGGGCTGTTGCTGTTCCTCTTAAGAGGTGCCTAATGAAGGATTTTGATGCTGTTGGGAGCTCAAAGAAACCTAAGGTTGCTGTTGTGAAGAAGGAGAAGTAAATGGAGTAGCATTAAAGGGAATATGTTGAAATGGCTTGCACTAAGACTAGGTTTTTATGTTTTTGGTAATCCACCCTAATGTGTATTTTTGGCTGGTGTGTTTTGAAGGCTGAATTGGTTGAACTGTAAAGTTAAGGTTCACTTAATAGTATGGTGACTAAGTGTAGGTGGGTGATGATGTTTTGTGTTTTTGTAAACTGGCATTGTCTTAGTTGCAGCTGTTATCTAAGTCTACTTAAATGTAATATGATGCTAATTTCAACTCTATGTTTCTTAGGCAAATATGGATTATCTTCACATAGGTATAGGTAGGACAGACACTTATTAATCAACCATTCATCACATATTGTCAACATCTAGACAAAGAAAAAAATTGCTCACTTGAAAAAAAGGCTAAAGCTGTAAAAATAAATATCTGAAAACAGACTACCAATATTTGATATTAGGTAATATCCTAATCTCAATAATTTTCATTAACACTTTGTCCAAAAAATTGGCATCAGACATGTTTATCATCATTTGCCCCTATCATGATTAGATAATATCATAGAAAAAACATGTAAAGAGTGGCAAAAAACACATAAGATTCAGGTTGATGGACTTGCTTATAAGTTATATACTGAAAACTGCACATGATGTTGATATTTTACACTTTAGACCTTGCCCTATTAGTTTGATCTACAGTTTGCTATAGATGATAAAAAGACATTACTCAACAAATGATGATATAGTAAGAAATTAGGAAAAAAAAAAACCTAAATTGCCATATATTATGTAAAAACCAAATAGACATTATGTTTAATTAGATATAGATAAGACATACACATATTAGTCAACAAATCATCATATACTAAGAACTTCGAAAAGAAAAAAAAAGGACTAAATTTGTAAAGGGATTGTTTAAACAATTACTACTACAGAAACACATAATAGTCAGCAAATCATAATATATTAACAACTTAGAAAAAGAATGGACACATAAAATTCCAATGGTCTGTCAAAGCAATAAGGGGTGATCACAGTTAACCACAATTGGAAAATTGTATCCAATTGTTGTTTGCTGTAAGTTATACTATATTTCGAAAGAGAAAACACAATCTCATATAGTTATGCTTGAAGTTATTAGTCACCAACGGGTAATATGATAACAAGTTTAAAAAAAATGTCTAATGGTAACTTTTACACTTGTCTATCAAAGCAATGAGCAGTGAAAACAGTTTCGCAGAAATTGAGTAACAAAAAAAAAAAAAAAAAAAAAAAAAAACAAATTTACCCAACTTAACAAATGCAAGTAATGAGCAAAGGAATGCAATATGCACAACGAAATTTCGATATAAAAGAACAAAAGAATAAAATATTAAGATACAATGAAACCATACATTTGCATGTTGGAATTAAAACTTTAGTAACTTTAAACTTACTAACTCATTTGCATCGTTATCTGGTTTTTGGTTGTATGTTCGCCTTAATGTTGCACCATCTACACAGGAATTTCAAAATTTTTGTGTTAGTATTATGAATATACATGCCAGCGCGATTAGTACTTCAAATAATTTGTAAATACAATGTCTGTGACTCTGTGTATATAATAATTAAATTAATTTCTGGTTTGTTCTATTTTTTTGTATTTAACTTTTGTTGTTTTTTTAATTTGCTGTTTATTATATGTGAATTGCTAGGCAAATCTCCTTTGGCAGAGGGCACAATTAAACATTTGGAAGAGACACAATAAGTAATGAAACTGCTTTCCATGGCTGCATGCCAAGGGAAATTTTGCGATGCAATATAATGCAGCTACAGGCTACATCTCCATATATACATCTCAACTCAATGTTGCATTTTACATGGGTTAGTGTGAACCCACTTTTATTTGGACAAGAACCTGGGCATATGCCATTTACAAAAGTGGCATATTCAATTATTCATTCATCCAGATGGTGGAGAAAAGGAAAACCAAATCTGATATGATTTTGAAATGATTTTTTTCTTATTTAAAATTTTAAAAAATAGCTATCACATTAATTGAATAGAATCAAGTTACACAAAATCCAATACATACAATATTTCTACTTTATTTATAGACATAGCCTTACTATCAAGCATTAATTGCTGATTGTAAGTTTTGACTTTGTAAAAGTAATGTTGTGATAGTGACTTTTCAATTCTCTCAAATTTGATATCTATATATACAACTCATTTAAGTCTAACAAAGAAACATCTCTATTCTCCACTCATTTTGAAAGAATCTACCATTAATGTGATTGCATTGTTAGTAATTGCAGTAAGAATGAAGAAATTGACGGGATCAACTACGATATGTGGAAAAAGGAAATATGTTGGCTCAAATAAAGGTACAATGTTTCATACCTATTTGTCTTCATTCAAATTCCATGAATGATTGTGTTCTTATTTCAGTTGCACCAGGGTCCTCATTTGCTTAACATTTATTGTGAAATCTGCAATAAATATTTATTAAAAGTGGTATGTCAATTGTAGAAAAAAAATATGATTTGAAAATGATTAAAATGCAATCATTTTTGTTGGTAACATGTATATATGTAATATGCACTATAAAAAAATTAAATATCCACTGAAGTTTCATTCAGAATAATGAAAAGAAAAAAAAAAGTTATTTTTCATATTTTTTTCAAGATTTTCCATTTTTGATATTGCTTTCATTAGGTTGTAATGTACAGATTTGGTGTCCTCTAAAATGTGTTTTCAAAATAGATATAGTTACCAAATTACAAGTTTAATGTAAGTAAAGAACAAGAGTTAAACAAAAATTAGGTATAGTCTCTATAGCTTTACAAAAATTCATCGAATCTGATAGTGAATATAGTATAAGTATAAACTTTCTGAAAATTATCAGTATTGTAGGATTTAGTTTAGGGAAACCCTAAAATTAGGCCTTAAACAAACATTGAGTTAGGGGTTTCTCCATAAACAGTGTAGGGAATTATATTTCGTCCAGAAAATAACAATAATCCTCTATTATAAACAAAATCAGGATCTAATTTAATAAACAAATAAATATATAATTAGGCATATAGGATCATTTCAGGATCGGGAATACAAGATGTAGAAAATTGAAAGAAGAAAAAAAAAACCTAAATAGGTCTTTAATCTATGAAAATAAAAGTAGCACAGACTAAAAATTTCATTGCATGCACTCTGAATCAAACAAATACTGTTAATTTGAGAAATAAGAACTAATTTGAAACAGATCTCATATATATTTGGAGATGATAAAGATAATTAAAGTGATAAACACAGTTAGACATTAAAAAAAAAAAACTAAATAACAGCAAGAAATTAAGAGAAAACATATCTGTAATTATGAATTTAGCTTCAGTTTAGTACGATTTCCACCTAAATGAAGACAAATTGATAGCTGTCGTTCAAGGTTGAGAGAGAGAGAGAGAACATCGGTAATCTCCGAAAATGAAGATGTTCAAGATGAAGCCGTGACAGACAGAGGATAAGGGTCAACACCATTTTTCCTCATCTGTTCTAGGTTGTAAGAGAGAGATAGATAGCATCAAAGAAATCATGGAATGAAGTGGGTTAGATGAAGACGAGAGAAGTGAGAAATGAAGAGGGCTCATATTAGATCTTTCATCTTCATCTCTTCATTTTTTATTTTATTATATATATATATATATATATATATATTATATATATATATATATATATATATATATATATATATATATATATTGGGTTGGTTAATTTTTCTTCTTTTTTTTTTTTTATAAAATGTTTAGGAATTAATAATTTCATTTTAAGTATGTTAGTTAATTACATAATTAGTAATGAAATGTTATTTATGTTTAATTGGGCAAATTATGATGTGTAAACGTGTTTACCAAGCGTATGGTGAACACGGGATAAATCCATAATTTCTAAGCCGTAGATCCATAATTATTATGGACTTACAACATAGAAATTATGGATCTCTATAATTTTTATGTTGTAGATTCATAATATTTATGCGGTAGAAATTATGAATCTACAGTACGGTATAATTTTTAATTAATTTAGAAAATTGTGATTACCAAGCGGGTTTTGATGTTCGTTGTAAAGATCGTGGTGTGCATCAGTCAAATTTACAGCGACAATTATTTCCTGGAGTTTTTAGGCCTCCGTTTTCTAGAATTGTTGCTGTTAATAATAATAGTAACCATAATTCAAATGTATTTTATTTTGTAAGTAAATAGAATAAATTTATTTATTATTTACGTTTTAAGTTGTAAATATTAGTCTTACTATTGTTTATCATAAATATTTGTTTTTTCTTTAGGTTTGTAGTTTTAAATTGTTACGTATTTATTCCTCAAGGAAAAAAAAGATTTTATCAGCAATTTGATATGTAATTTTGTACGTACGTAAATAAATTTAATTTTTTAACATACACACATTATTATTGTCTTATATATTATTGTATATAATATTATCCATTTTGTATTTAAATCCTACACTTTGAATGACTAATTAATGGGAGTTCATATGTATGGGTATATAGATGCAGGAAGTGCAATTTGTAACCCAATTGAAGTTCAGTCGAACATTATGGCCAATGTGTTACAAAGCTCAAGTACTAATAATTGTAATTTTACAGTTGAGAATGGCGAAACAAGTCAACCGATAATTGGTATTTGTTTATTTCTTTTAGTGTAATTGTAATTTATTGTGTAGTTTATTTAATTATTTTATGTGTATATATTAATGCTTATTTTTAATCTGTGTAGATGACAAAAAGAAATGTAATGTGGTTTTTTCAAGTGTTCGAGGTTTGGGTGTTGACAATAAAGGTTAGATTTTGTAGAACTAAAGAATAATTTGAATTTTTAAGTCATTATATTTATTTATTTATTTTTGGAAAATATTTGTTGATGTACTAACAACATTTACTATTGTATTGTAGTGCTATATTATGATATAGGTGATCCAGTTCTTAAATGCCAACATTGTAAAGCGTTCTTTTGGACGGATGAGAAATTGAAGGATGTGAAAGTCAATGGTGCTGCAAGATATTCAGTTTGTTGTAGTAATGGCAAGATTAAGTTACCAAGATTGAATATTCCACCGAAAATCATTTTCGATTTATTTTTCGACCAAACTCCACGAAGCAAACATTTTTTGCAACATATACGGTCGTACAATAACATGTTTAGCTTCACATCAATGGGAGGTCGTGTTGACAAAGATATTAACATAGGTGGAGCTCCTCCAGTGTTCAGATTAAATGGTCAGAATTTTCATTTGTTGGGCAGTTTATTGCCGGTTGATGGTAATAAACCGAAGTTTGCACAACTTTACATCCATGACCCAGAAAATGAGATTTTCAATCGGCTTAATGCTGTTAGGTATGCTCTCTTTTAGTATGTAATTGGTATACTTAGTTGTAATTCGCATGTGTGGTTATGCACAAACATAGATATCTACACATTCATGCTATATATATATATATATATATATATAACTGATTTGTGTTAAATTTTGATTGTAGCGGCGGCAATGAGGTCAAAGAATTACATGAAGATATTGTTTCTGATCTTCAATTAACATTAGATGAGAACAATGTTTTGGTTAGATCATTTCGAATGGCTAGACATGAAATAAAGAAAAATCCCAGAGTCGACGTCAAAATGAAATTAATTGGGAAACGCACTCAGGATGCCAAAACATATAATCTACCGACAGTGTCAGAGGTTGCTGCTATTGTTGTTGGTGATTTAGATCCAATGTTGGGTGAAAGAGATATATTGATTGAAACAAAATCAGGTGTGCTTAAGAGAATTACTGAACTTAATCCAGCATACCTCCCACTTCAGTATCCAATTTTGTTCCCGTATGGTGAAGATGGTTATAGAGAGGATATCCCTTTCAATGTTGAAAGACATATTGATAAAGGAGCACGACATAGTGTTTCTCTCCGCGAATATCTTTCATTTCGTATTCATGAGCGGCTGAATGAAATTTCAACATTTTTATTTGCTAAAAGATTATTTCAACAATTTTTAGTTGATGGCTACACTATGGTTGAATCTGCTCGACTACTTTACATTCGTACACATCAAAAAAGTCTACGATGTGGATCATATAAAGGGCTTTTTGATGCTTTGACGCGTAGAGAAGTTCAGCCCGGGACTCATGGCAGGCGTATTGTATTGCCTTCTAGCTTCACAGGTGGTGCTCGATATATGGTTCAGAATTACCAAGATGCTATGGCAATATGTGGTTGGATTGGTTATCCAAATTTATTTATCACCTTTACATGTAATCCAAAATGGCCAGAAATACAACGACTGTTGGAAGGGCGGAACTTGAGACCTGAAGATCGTCCTGATGTATTATGTCATGTATTTAAAATGAAATTGGATACTCTGGTTAGGGAGATAAGAAGTGGTTCTATTTTTGGAAAAATTATAGCTGGTATGTGTAATTCTTCTTGATTTATTAATTATAGATTATTGGCAAAATTTCTCTATATGTTGATATTCATTGTTTTGTTGCAGTGATTTATACTATCGAGTTCCAGAAGCGAGGATTACCACATGCACACATCTTGCTCTTCCTTGAGCGTACTGATTCACAACAATTTGCAGCCAATGTTGATTCTTTGATAACAGCAGAGATCCCCCAAAAAAACACTGACCCTGAATATTTTAAGGCTGTTAGTGATTTCATGATTCATGGGCCATGTGGCGTGGCAAACAAGAAATCACCTTGTATGGTCAACGGTCGTTGCTCAAAGCATTTTCCCAAGAAATTCTCTGAGGCCACTAATCTTGACTTCAATGGGTATCCTGTTTACAAGCGTAGTGATAATGGGAATACAGTTGTCAAAAGTGGTATTGAATTGGATAATAGATACGTGGTGCCGCACAATAGATATTTGTTAATGAAGTATAGAGCACACATTAATGTTGAGTGGTGTAACCAGTCTCGCTCTATTAAGTATTTGTTCAAATATGTGAATAAGGGTAATGATCGAGTTACTGCCCAATTTTATAAGAGTACTGAAACTGAAGATAGTAGTGAGGTTATAGATGAGATTAGTATGTATTATGATTGTAGATACATCTCTCCTTGTGAAGCTGTGTGGCGTCTTTTTAGTTATGACATCCAATTCCGAAATCCGGCCGTTGAACGATTGAGCTTTCATTTGCCGAATGAACAAAACATTGTTTTCGACGATGATGTTTCTGTGGAATCGGTGCTTGAACGCCAGACAGTTAGGCACAGCATGTTCCTCGCGTGGTTTGAAGCAAATAAACGGTATCCGTGTGCTCGTGAGTTAACATACAAGCAGATGCCTAATAGCTTTGTGTGGAAAAAAAGCATTCGTGAATGGCAACCAAGGCGTCGAGGATTTGCAATAGGTCGCATGTTCTATGTGCCGCCAGGTACTGGTGAAATTTACTATCTAAGGTGTTTGTTAAATTTAGTTCGTGGACCAACATCTTTTCAAGATATTCGCACGGTAGATGGTGTTGAGTACTCTTGCTTTCGAGATGCATGTTATGCTCGGGGATTGATTTCTGATGAGAAGGAGTATGTTGATGCAATACTTGAAGCTAGCCATTGGGCAACTGCTGCTGCTGTTCGTAGACTGTTTGTTACTCTACTTACTTCTAACTCAATTTGTCAGCCGGAAAAAGTTTGGGAAATTGTTTGGGCAGAACTTTGTGACGACGCAGAATACAATCAACGTACACTGTTGAATGATCCAGGTACAGTTCTACTGTCTTTATTAAACTACTTAGACTCAATATACCAGTTATGAAGTGTTTTCAACGGGATCTAACTGTACTTACAGTTTATTTAAAATGGTGATGATGTGCAGCGTTTGTGTTGCCTGAATGTGAGAAGAAAAGATATGGGCTTACTGAATTGGAAAAATTGTTATCGTTGTGGGGTAAGAGCTTACAAGACTTTCCGTGTATGCCTGTTCCTGAAACCGATGTGCCAACTGTTGCATTCAACCGTTTGATAGCTGAGGAATTGAATTACGATTGTTCATTATTGGCCCAGGAGCATTTGTCATTAGTTCAGAAATTAACTGTTGAGCAAAAGCAAGCGTACACTACCGTGTTGGAATTAGTTGCAGGCAATAATGGAGGTTTGTTTTTCGTTTATGGGTACGGTGGTACAGGTAAAACATTTGTGTGGAAAACCTTATCAGCTGCACTACGCTCAAAGCGTAAAATTGTTTTGAACGTTGCATCCAGCGGAATTGCTTCGTTACTCATACCTGGTGGTCGGACTGCACATTCCCGTTTTGCCATACCAATCGCTGTGAATGAGGATTCCACTTGCAATATTTCACAAGGCAGTGATCTAGCGGAGTTAATAATTAAATGCAGCTTGATTATTTGGGATGAGGCACCTATGATGCACAAGCATTGCTTCGAAGCATTAGATAGGACAATGCGTGATATATTAAGATTTGCTAATCCATCAAGTTGCAACTTGCCATTTGGAGGGAAAACAGTTGTTCTTGGAGGTGATTTTAGACAAATCTTACCGGTGATACCAAAGGGTACCAGGCAAGATATTGTTGGCTCAAGTATTAACTCTTCTTATTTATGGAGTCATTGTAAGGTATTGAGGTTAACTCAAAATTTGAGGTTGCAAAATGTGGGCTCTACTGGAGAAAGGAGAAACCTTGCTGCTTTTGCTAATTGGATTGCGGCTATAGGTGATGGCCAGGTTGGTGGTCCAAATGATGGTCATGCAAAAGTTGAAATCCCTCAAGAACATGTGTTAAAGACAAATAGTGATCCAATTCGTGCTATTGTTGAGAGTACATTCCCTATGTTTTCTGAGCATCAACATGATGGCAATTATCTAATTGGAAGAGCAATTTTAGCACCAACTCTTGAAGTTGTCGATGAAGTGAACGAGTATATGAGTAATATGAATATTGCAGAATGCCGAACATATTTTAGCTTTGACTCAGTTTGTCCGACGGAAAACACTCCTGATTCAGTTGCCGCACTTCACACCCCGGAGTTCTTAAACGGGTTAAAGTGCTCTGGTGTGCCAAACCATTCATTGGCTTTAAAAGTTGGGTCTCCAGTTATGTTATTGCGAAATATAGATCACTCTGCTGGTTTGTGCAATGGCACAAGGTTAATCATTTCTAAACTAGGCGACCATGTTGTTGAAGCCAAAATTCTATTCGGCAGTAATGCAGGAACAAAGGTGTTGATTCCACGATTGTCGTTGACCCCATCAGATCCAAAGTTACCGTTTAAATTTCAGAGGAGACAATTCCCCCTAATGTTGTCGTATGCTATGACAATTAACAAGAGCCAAGGACAAACGCTTTCTACAGTTGGCCTACTACTGAAAAAATCTGTTTTTGTTCATGGACAACTTTACGTAGCTTTGTCAAGAGTTAGCAATCCAAATGGTCTTAAGTTACTTATTTGCAATGACAATGGAGAATATGTTTCTTCAACGTCAAATATTGTATATAAAGAGATATTTAATAATATATAAACTTTGTATGTTATTTAGTTTTTGTTACATACATTATATATATATATATATATATATATATATATATATATATATATATATATATATATATATATATATATTTACTTATTTATTTATTTATTTATATACACACACTTTATTTTTGGTCCGTGCATCGCACGGGTGGATAACTAGTCAATAATAAAAATAATAAAATTCATTATTTATACTAAAAGATAAATAATATAAATATTCAAATATAATAACTAAATTATTAATTTTTAAAAATAAACTTTTTTGAAAGCCAACAAAGCCAAAATATATTAAAGCATCAAATGGTTCAAACATAGAGGAGGAGTATCCCTCCAGACAGAACGAGAGGTAGAAACATCCCTCGCCTTTGCTAACGAATGGGCCACCCGATTGGCATCCCGACTAATAAATCTAATAAAATGAGGAATAGAACTAACTAACTGAATACAAAACTCAATAATATGACCAACATGTGAACGAATCATACTGTCGTTGTGTAGATGTAGACATAGCATCTGACAGTCGAAGTAGAGAATGACGTTTGTGTAACCATGCTCCTTCAACCAAGATAACGCTTCCCGAATTGCCGTGGCTTCAACAAGAACCGGATCGTGCGGGCACACCAATGAACCATTTGCAACAGCTTCAAAGGAGCCATCACCATTCTACATGACAAAACCAAAAGTCACCAAATTGTTTGGGCTATGAAATCCGACGTCTACATAGCAGAATCTGCCTGTGAACACCAATGTTTTGGAGGGGGGAGTAGGCGGGTGGTGGCCGAAGAGACATGCAAGACCTGGCGTGGCTGATCAAGGGACGACCACGATTCCCACTGCTGCCACAGACACCGACATAGCACTGCTGGTGTTGGAAGAGAACCCTCCCAGACTGCTTGGTTCCTTGCCATCCATAACGCATGAAGAGCACCGCAAATTTGCTCCTTATAAGGTCACGCATATTTGCTGCTGAAGATTCTAACCACTCCTTAGTCCACTACATAAAATCTCTACCATTGAAATGTGGAATTCGCAATTCCGTGCAGTCCCAAGCATGCTGAGCATATGAACATGAACATAATATATGCATGGCATCCTCTTCAAATAAGCCACAGGAAGGACACAAATTAGAAATCTCCACCTTTCTTCTGATCAGATTTGCTGCTGTAGGCAGAATAGATGTGAGGGCTCTCCATAGAAAGGACTTCCATTTGGGAAGTGCCTTAAGGTTCCACAAGTTGTTCCAGACTTCGTTGGGCGGGGAGGTTATGATGCATAATTTCCTGTAGCGGTCTTTAACCGAGTTGCATCCTCTAATATCACCATGCCAAAACCAAATATCTTCACTTTCGTTATTAACGAGGGTCTGGAGGATCAAATTAGCATCTCTTTGATCAAAACGTTTGTACACTAAATTAATATCCCAACTATTTTTCACTGAACTAATAAGATCCCTTACCATCAACATAGGGTTTCCTGTATGGTGGAATGGTTTGCACAACCCTCGCCAAAGAACAAAACACAAGATCATAGTGACATGTCATCTATTTAATCAGAGTATTATCCATTACGGTCACATGCATTTTAATTCTCCAACTTAGGTCATTTATGAACAAACCCAATGTTTATTCTCAGTACCTTAAGGGATGTTTCTCAAAATATATTATGTGCACAACTGAAAAGAGAAATACATCCAAATTGTACAAAAGAGTACACTGTATGATCTCTATCTAAAACCTTAGAAGCATGCCTTAAGTAAAGATCTCTTAATGTCAGCATAATGCTAACTATATTCTATGACTTCTTAATAAGTTAACATAAGTACTACCTTTAACGGCTAAGAGCTTGGAGTTAACACGTCTGTTACTCCCACTCATCAAAATAGCCAAAAGATAGTCAAGCCATTGAAGCATTCCAATAAGTTAGATAATAAACCAAAGATCTAAGTCCATAAATTTGGAATCTTAATCATACACCATAACTCCCCAAATAACTCTAATGTCCACTATAAATGAAATAAACATATTTAGTCTTACTTATATGTCTCACAAAATTGTTTTGAGCCTTACAAACCAAAATGGCCAAAGATCAATTTTGAAGAAACTAAAGACTCTATTACTCACTGAAGAATTTATTAAATGACAGTGCATAACAAGTTAAATGCTTTTGTTCTAATAAATTCCTTAATATTGTTACAACATTGTCATAAATATGTTGCACAACCAAACGTTCAATAATTTGAACTTATGAATTTATATGAACAAATATACAAGATTAATACTTGTGGAATATTTTAGACTTATTGTTTTGACATACAATCCAATTTGGGATGTATGAAGACAATAATTAAATCCATAATGTTAATGGATCATCTTAATGATCTGTTTCTAAATGATCACTCCCAATGATTAAAATATTCTTCAGCGAAACTTAATACAATGAATATACATACTCATAATTGATTTGACCAACTAATAAATGAAGATATAATTCCCCACCATTAGTTGGGCATACTAAATAATCAATTTTTGGTTCCAATTAAAGTCCAACTTAAATAATGAAGATATAATTCCCCACCATAGTTGGACATACTAAAAATAAAAACAAAATACACCTTTCAAAACCAAGTTAGAATTTGGCTCAAAAGATACACTTTATTATTAATGGAATCCAAAAGAGGTATGCCAAATCACGTAACTTACTACAGTTAGTCCGAAGAACTGAGCAAGCTTCGTGGATCGATTAATAAAAGTGGCTATCTAAATTTTGGGAAGTAACTAAATACATGTTTTGTCAATTCAAACCATGAAACTTAGAATTATAATTGAACTAAATTTATAAATTCTAAGAAAGTGTAATAAAATTATTATCTAATGGGTTGAGGGATTTATTGACATAAAACTTGCCTGTGGGCTAAAGTTTTAATTCTATTAAATCCAATTAAACCCTTATGATAATATTTTTCACAACTACTAAATAGACAGAAGAACCTAGTGACATAAAACTTGCCTGTGGGCTAAAGTTTTACTCAATTAGATCCAACTGAAAAATTTATTTATGATGAAACAACTATCAAATGAGTTGAAGAATCAAGTGACATAAAACTTGACTTTAAAGTTTTATTCAATAAGATTCATTACAACCATTATGATAAAACTTAAGAAATCATGTGTCTTTTCTTAATCCCTGTGGGCAAATTAAAAAATATGATCTAAAGTTTACATCATAAAGTTAAACTTTAAGATAGAATTAGAAATCATTATTTACAAATAAATTGATCTATTTCTATCATCACTGATAAAACTACTAAACTACATTCCGATACATAATTGTCTGTGAGCTAAATTATGACCGTAGTCCAGTATTTCATCCTGATTAATTATACAAATATAACGAAATTGCATGTGGGCTAAATTCCATCATATTACATACAATTAATCACAAATGATATGTCCAAAACTTTATGTGATAAAAATAAACCGCTTAATATATAATTTTAACAGATTAAGGATGTTGTGGCTACTCCAAAACCAAATTAAAATTATAAGATCACTAGACAATTATCAATTCCTTGCCTAACCTATATAATTTAAACTGATTAAGGATGTTGTGGCTACTCCATAACCAAATTAAAATTATAAGATCATAACTTAATAATCTTAGGTAGTTGAATATGTTGTGGCTATTCCTTAATTAACCAAGATTGAAAACTCAAGATACTTCAGTAAATTAAAGATGCTTTGGCTATTCTTTAGTGAACTGAAATAAAATCACATTGGCAAGAAATATTTAAAATTTTGAAAAACAGATTATACCAAATTGTGATGGGAAAATCTAAATATACTCTAGGAAAAAATGGTTAGTGACCAAGTCTCACTGAATACCAATTCCTTAAATAGAGTATCACTTTAAGGCGTCTGGTGGCACAAGATGTTTTTAAGTCATGGCCATAAAACTAATATGCCTCCCTGATTCATATATACTTAATGTATAACTGTTTAGGGGTATACACCAGAAAACTGTATGGTTCACCTATGATTAAAGCTTAAATGGTGTACTAAATTAGCGGACTAAACGTGCTTAAATTCAGGCACTACCGAAACTAAAGTTTATGTATAAGTCAAACTTAATAGGAACTAATATAATTTCATTCCAAAGTATGCATTGCTAAATGCATAATTTAAAACAAAATATTATGCTTAGGACAAGTATACATAAAATTAAACATTAAACTCATATATTCCAAATAAATTGCATAACTTAAAACAATTTAAATATGAGATTTATTTCAAAATATAAGTTGAATATTCTGTTGATTCAAGCCCGAGCTCGTGTGCGTCGGCACATGCGGGTACGAATCTCGTTCGAAAATTGGCTGGCCTTGCGGTCTAAGTGTTATGCTAACTTTCGGTATCAGTTTTTCCAACGCACTAGCCACTTGGGTTCTTTCGGCCTACTTCAGTTTCGGCCAGAGAGGCCGAGATTTGGCTTGTAGTTTCGGCATCAGCCAAACCGAAACTGAAGCAGTATGGTTTCGGACTGAAGCAATATGGTTTCGGCCTAGGGCCGAAACTTAGCCAGTCTGGGGTGGCTGAATACCAACAGACAAATGTGGGATTAAATTCTTCAAGTTACGGATTTAATTTTTCAATTAACTCCAATTTCAATTCTGAATTTAAATCCTGGGTAATGGCATGCTGTTTCAGATGTTACAAAGCCAAGTTTAAATGGCCTTGTTTAATGCTATTGAGGACCTACATCCTTATATAAGAAGGGGTAGAGTGCAGCAGATTTTCTAAGCACATAGTGACAAGAACACACAACACATGAACTGTTTTCTCTCCTCAAAAACTCTGCTTCTACTCCTTTCTTAAGCCTAACTATGTTCAAGGCTTTGCTTCGTTCGCCGGGTCTGTTCGTTTGGGTGCTCGAACGTCGAATCGTAACGCGTTTTATCCTGGAAAACGTAGGCCACAACTCTCCTAGCAC